GCCTCGGCGGGCTCCGGCGGCGGCCCCCCGCGCTCCGCGGCCTCGGCGCGCGCCGCGGCCTCGGCGCCGGCCTCGGCCGCGGCCGCGAGGTCCGCCTCGAGCGCCGCGACGCGCGCGGCCAGGTCCGCGGCGCCCGCCGCGCGGTCCCGGAGCGCCGCGGCCTCGCGGCAGGAACTTGGCGAGGACGGCCGAGAAGCCGTCGTCGGCGGCGGCCATGCGGCCCTTAACGAGCTGCCCCAGGAGCCCACGATGATGGGCACACCATACTGTTGGACGTCGTGGGGCAAGATGTTGATGATGTCAATGTTGGCACTAGCCTCGCTTGCCGTCGCCGTCCGCGACGGTGCTCGAATCTCGGCCGGCGCATCGCCGCGGCGACGCCGGCGCCATGTCCTACGGCACGGTGGCGACGCGGGAGCCGTCGGGCGCGGTGTCGCTCCAGATCGAGGTGGGCGCGGCGCCCCGCCGGGCGTCGTTCTGGGCCGTGGCCTACATGGTGCTCCTCGGCGACAGCGTGCGCGGCATCTTCTTCCCGACGCTCTGGCCCCTCGTGAGCTCGCTCGGCGGCACGCGCGCGCACCAGGGAATCATCGTCGCCGCGTTCAGCCTCGGCCGCGTGCTCGTGTCGCCGTGGTACGGCGCGCACAGCACGAGGCACGGCTACCGGGGCGTGCTGCTCTTCGCGCACGGCGTCATCGTCGCCGGCGCGCTGCTGTACACGCAGGTCCGGGGCCTCGCGTCGCTCTTCGCCGCGCAGGTCGTCCTCGGCCTCGGCTGCGGCACGCTGGGCGTGACGCGCGCGTACGTCGCCGAGTCCGTGCCGCGCGACCAGCGCACCGTCTACCTCGGGCGCCTCACGGCGATGCAGTACGCCGGGCTCACGACGACGTCCTTCCTCGGGTCGCTCCTCAGCCGCTGCGGCGACGGGCTCGCGGCGCGCTACGGCGGCACGCGCGCGGGCGCGCTCCTGCGCCTCGACGGCCTGACCTTCGCCGCCTACGCGGTGCTCGCCGGCGCGCTCGCCGCCGTCGCGCTCCTGCTCGCGCCGACCTTCGTCGACTTCGTGCCCGCCGCGCGGCCGCCGGCGGCCGCGGCGGCCGCGGGCGCGGCGCCCGCGCCGCTCGCCGCGTCGGACGCGGCCGCGGACCGGCGCCACGCCCGCCTCGTGGCCGTCGGCCTCGTGCTCAACGTCGTCACCAAGGGCTCCATCGGCTGCTACGAGACCCTGGGCGTGTCCTACGCGCAGGCCGAGCTCGGCCTACCGGGCCCGGTCGTCGGCTACTACGTGTCCGCGTCCGGCCTCGTCGGCGTGCTCTTCCTCCTCTCGTTCCGGCCGCTCGGGCGGCTCTTCGACGACGTCGAGCTCGTGCTCTACGGCATCGCGGTCATGGTCGCGTCCTGCGCGCTCATGGTCCGGCCCGTCGCCGCGGCGCTCGGCGGCGGCGACGCGTTCCAGGTCTGGCTCACGGCGCTCTTCGCCATGTACGCCGTCGGCTACCCCGTCGGCCACACGGCCGTCATCGGCTGGTTCTCCAAGGCCATGGGCCGCCGGCCCCAGGGCATGCTCATGGGCCTCTTCGCGTCCGCGGGGTCGCTCGCGCGCATCGTCTTCCCGGTCTGCACGGGCCTCGTCGCCGTGTCCTTCGGCTCCGACGCGGTCTTCGCGACGCTCGCGGCGCTCCTCGGCGCGACGCTCCTCATCATCGCCTACTTCCGGGCGGCGTTCCGCGGCGCGATCGCCTAGGCGCGCCCCGACCCTCGCCGAGACAGAGTAGAGATCGAGGCTGATTTTCCTTTTTTTCGGAAAGTGAACTAACAAGGCCTAGGAGATTATTTTTTTCCGGCCCGGCGAGGCCTAGGGGATTCTTATTGGGCGAACCAGGCCTAGGAGGTTGTTTTTGCCACATTTTGGTTCAACTTGAAGTTTACTTCAACTTTACGGCAAGTTATCTTCTAGGAGATTCTTTTCGGGGCTGCTAAGCCGTGGGAAAGTGACCTTGGGAGCTCGATCTCTACTCTGCGCCTAGACGCCCGGCGCGGCCCGGCGCGCGCGGGGGCGGGGCTCACTTGGCGAGGGCGAAGGTCATGGCCCCCACCTCGACGGCGAGGTTGCCGTCGACGTAGGCGCGGCCCGTGGCCTTGGCGATGCCGAACTTGGCCTTCCAGTTCGTGATCTCGACCTCCATGACGAGCGTGTCGCCCGGCACGACGGGCCGCTTCCACTTGACGCCGTCGACGCCGGCGAAGAAGAAGACGGCGCCGGGCTCGGCGCCCTCCATCTGGAGGCAGACGACGCCCGCGAGCTGCGCGAGGGCCTCGATCTGCATGACGCCGGGCATGATCGGCCGGTCGGGGAAGTGGCCGCCGAACTGCGGCTCGTTGAACGTGATCTGCTTGATCCCGACGGCGGACTCGCCGGGCTCGTAGGCGACGACCTTGTCGACGAGCGCGAAGGGGTAGCGGTGCGGCAGGATCTTCTGCACCTCCTCGAGGGTGAAGACGGTCTCGACGCCCCCCGTGAGGGCGCTGATCTCCTGCGCCGTGGCGCGGAGCGGCGGCGCGACGCGCGTCGGCGCCGGCGCCCGGAACGCCGAGGCCCAGGCCAGGGAGAGGAGGAGCGCGCAGGATGAGCGCATGCTTGTCGCGTGAAGCGGCGGTGCACTGAGCGGTCTGGCGGTGCTGCGCTTGTACGGACGGACGGCGGCCGACGAGAGCAAGGGGTAATAAATAGTAGATTCTAGATTTATATCCCCTTGACGAGAGACGCGTCGG